TTGAGCCTGAGCTCAACATCAGGCTGAACACCTGGAATCTTTGTTGTTTTCCTGCCAACTGGTCAATGTGTAAAGGGGTTGCTTGCTAGGAGAAGTGCAAAGCTTTGGAAAATCTACGGGCTCCTGAAATAACCTGACAATATGTGAAGACAGGTCTGCTGTAGATGAAACAGGAAACTTCGGAATATCATGCGTGAGTGCTGAAAACTCTTTTGGCATACTGCCTGGGTTACTTGAGATAACTGATGGGGATCGATGCCTTGAAGATCAGAAGTTTGCCTACTCTTTTTTTTTTTTTTTTTTCTCCCTGGTAGGGACCAATTTATTAAAGCTTCCCTGAAATTCCTTATAGTCAGGGATGGGCAGTAATAGAAAGGTGCTGTGGTGCTACAATATCTCCTTTGGTTGATTTGTCATGTGCTTTGCCAGAGCACCTTTGTTAGAATTCATGAAGTGAGAACTTGGAAATGAAACATGGGTGATCATTATGCTTTTCAAAATAGACTGCAAGAAGGATTTTAAAAAAGTCACCCAAATTTGTTATAAACTCCACCTGGTAAAATGCTTTGGAAGTGACTCTTTCACTTGGGCTCCAGGCTCTTTGAATTTTAGTTTGAATTTTATTTTGGAGATCTCTGAAATACCATTTGCTTGAAGATAGAGCTGTATTGTTTGTGTTTTGCTCTTTTCTTTCTCATAAAATTATTTTATAAAAAAGATACATGGTGGTTGTTCTTGCCCTCTCCCTTTCCCCCCTGCCAAAATCAGAAGTTTGAAAACACTCATGTATTAATTCAGGTTGCTGCTGAATTGAGGGGAGGGGAAATGAGGATTTTAATGGGATTCTTAGGCTTGGGGAGGGGAAAAAAAAAAAAAAAGTGGTAGAGAGGAGTTGAAGACAGAACCTATCTGAGCCTCTGCCCTGAAGGGGTGCAGTAGGCGCTAGACTGGAATCTCTGAATTCCTGTGAGTGGCGCGGGCTGTGGAAGGCGGCTCAGCTTGCTTTTCCTGTGGAAGTTCCCCAAAGATCCAGTGTGGCATGAGAACATTTATTAATGCCTAATAGGCTTTTGGCAGTATTGAGAAAAGGAATCCAGATTTCAGGATGCTTGGAACCAATTTGTGGTGGTCTGCTGTGCCCCGAGGTAATGTTTATTTATTGCCATTCTGGAAATGCCCTTATATATATATATATATATATAAATTTTTATGCTCTTCAGCACTGTGTCTTTTTCATGGGCTGTATTGTACTTCCCTATATAAGTACATTTTCTGTTTATTCTCATGAGGCTGAGAAGGAGACCTGAGAATAGATAAACACTATAGAAGTAGCAAAAATTGTTGGGGTTATTTAAAAAGGGCAAATTGAGGAGAAATTATTCTGCAGGACATGAAATCTAAACTATGTGTGTGTGTGACTTTTTAAAAAAAAATAAAAATAAAAAAATTGTGAGTTGTTTGCCGTGAGTTGCCCAGAGGTTGTAGAGTCTCCTTCTCTGGAGATCTTCCAAATCCGCTTGCACACCACCTATGCCACGTGCTGGAGCAGGTGTCCCTGCTGGAGCAGGGGGGTTGGACTAGATAATCTCTAGAGGTCACTTCCAACCTTAACCATTCTGTGAGCTGATACCCGTCTCTGGGACTGAGATGGGTGGAAGAGGAAGATGACAGAAAGAAGAGAAGGATGGCAAACCAGTGCAGCTGGTATCAGCTACCCAGAGCATCACTGTGCAGCAATGATCACCGCACAGGCCTCACCTGAGAGTGCCCGGCTCAGGACTGGGCACTGTGCAAGGGTCCCCGTAAGCAGCAGATGCTGAGAGCTCACCTGGTGCTGATGTTTTGCTCAGGCCTCATTAGCAATTAAGCTAAGCAGGTAAGAACTAATATCTTAGCCTTCATGAGCAGGTAATGGTAATAGTGATGCTCCCTTCCTGGAGTGCTCTAGGTATGTAAGAGTAGAATAAGGATGAAGATCTAACCCAGCACTGATGGAAAACACAGAAATGGGCTTTCATCTGCCTTGTGCTTTCACTTTTAAAATATATCCCTGTTTCTCTCCACTACTGTTGTGGGCATTGCTCTTTCATGTAACAACAGTATTGTTCTTACTATTCATTTTATTCGTGACATTCTTGGGAATCAGTCTTTATCCTCCATAAATCAAGTGGACAGAGATAAAACAGCTGTTGCCGAGGAGACGCAATTTCCACGGGGCATCTGTTTGAGTGAATGATGTTTACAGATGCCTGAAAGAGAAGCAGCACTTGCAAAATGTGAGAAACAACATTCTGCCTGATTGCTGTCAGTGTTTCTGCAAGCCAACAGTATGGTGTTTTACTATACTACTCAGGATTTGGGTATTTTGGTGGGACAGGAGGAGAGAAACTCTGTTACATTACCAATTTGAATTCATTTGTATTTACGCATATCTGAAATGGCCTGCAAGGCCAGAAAGGGAGAAGTCATTGTGTGAGGTTTCCTCTTTTGATTAAATATATTTTTATTTTCAGAAATACACTTTTACACAAATGTGTGAGAGTGCATGACTTTGGGAAGGGCCCCAAAGGAATGGTCGCTGCTGGAGAACTAGAAATGAATTGAAATTGCAAGTTGTACTTGGGGGGAGGATGGATATCCAGCCTCTTAGGTACAGGAAAGTTTCCAAATGGAGGGAAATGTTTTAGTTTTTGTCTCTCAGTGGAAATATTTGGATTTGCTCTAAACAGACTGCCAAGGCAAACTTCTGACAGTGCTTTTACACTTCTATAGTTTCAGCAAAAGTTTGCAGCGAATGTTTGCAAATGTTAATTCTCAGTTGTGCATTAGTCCTTGTGTGGCAGCAGTAATATTGAACATTCCCAAAACAGCCCTGGGAAGGGAGCAAAGGGTGGGAAAGCTGAATTATTACCCCAAGTTTATGGACTGAGTTACTCTATAGCGTAACTTATTGCAGACTAGTGACACTTCATGAAAATGAAGAATGATCTCTTGTGCTTAGGCAACACTACCTGTGTTTTTAGTCATAATCATATAAGTGAAAAATCCATCAGTGTTTTTTCTTGCAAGCTTGCCTCAGTTTTGAGGAACTCAGTGTTTTCTCTGCTCCTATGATATACAAAGCATGGAGAAGGCTGAGAGCGGATCTAATCAGTGTCTATAAGTACCTCAAGGGAGGCAGTGAGGAGGATGGTGCTGGGCTCTTTTCAGTGGTGGTCACTGACAGAACTAGAGGAAACTACCAGAAACTAAAACCTCAAAAGTTCCACAGGAACTTTGCTTTATCACAATTACACTGCAGCCTCCTAAGTGGCACTTGCATGCCTTGAAATCACACCCAAGTTTAAGGACTGTGAATGCTTCTTGGATTACTCCAGGATAAGAGGCAACCCAGAGCAGCATGAGGCTACACACAGCAAGGAGGTTCTTGTCGATATTTTTATCCACTTCTTCGATCAATTATGCAGAGGGGGAAAAAAAAAAAGGCATTTCACTAAAAATCTAATCTGTAAATACTAATGCTGCACTGCATTCTCAAAAAAAAAAAAAAAGAAAAGGTCTAGAACTTAACCTGAAATAATGATGCTATAATACAAGGGATAAAAGTCTGTTATTGCATGGGACAAACCACCGTAATGCAGAGAGACAGAGACACACCCCAGACTTACAGTGTGGCTTGTGTACTAACAGTTCGACCCACAAAAACTCCCACTCAGCTATCAGAAAGAAACAAAGCCAGCCAGCCTCCCCGCACAGGGAGCTCTGCAATAATCTGAAGTACATCCTTTGCTGCAAATCCAGTGTATAAAGTTGTGCATCATTACAATTTACAAGACTAAGTGATGCAGCTGCAACATTGGCATTGAACTCAAACAAATCCCAAGGACTCTAAAAGACAGAAGAAACCTTGTTTATTAACTCCTGTTAAATTAACTGCACTGTTAACTCACGGCAATTATTATGCAGAGGTTACAGTACTGTATATCTCTGATTTTTATCCTTACCCAGGGAAAAAATGGTCCCAATAGCTACTATTAATATAATGTCAGGGATAAGTACTATCACATTTTGCAGTATGTTTAGGAATGAAGTTTTCCTTTTCTTTAATGACTAGTATGGGAAACTATCTGGAAAACAAGAGCAGCAATCCCCATAGAATAATACCTGAAAACTTTCTCTATATGACAACAAGCCCATATATAACAATTAAAACATATTTCCTAAATCTTCATGCTAGCGTTACTGCTATCTCACCTCTTTTGTGAATTCACTCGCAAACTTGTGACTGGGACATATAAGACAGCACAGTACCGATGGCACCTACGACAGCATGAATTCTGCTCACTAAGTCTCCTGCTATGAGGTTTATTTTCTGGAACGATGATTAATTTCTCGTTTTCTCATTAATCCTGCTGGCCAAGACCTGTCCCGCAGCGGCACCGCTCCAAGCAGTGGGTCCTTCCTGCTGCAGAGCCGGGCTGCCCTGAGCCCGCGCTGCTTCACGCTCTGCAACCTGACCGGAATAGCGAGCAACCTTCCTGCCTGATGCAAACAAGGAAGTTCATAGAATTATGTTCCCATCCCTTCCAAAGTCATAATACAAAGGCAAACAAGCCAGAGAAGAATTCTTTCCCTCTAATAAGCTTTTTGAGCAGTGTTTCAGCTGCTGTAATTCACTTCAAAACTGCTATGAACCTTTTGCAGAGGTCTTGCTTAGGGGCTCTACATCCTCATAAAG